GGCCACAGGGAGGGTTGGGGGAAGAGCGGCCTGCTCGGTGTCATTGCCTCGACGCTCAGGGCGGCCAGTGACTCCATCACTGACCTAGTGCCGAGCACGGCCGAGCGCGGCCGAGCTCGCCCGAGCTGGCGGCCGTCGACCTGAGCCCGCGATGCCGGCCTCCACCGCGCCAACGGCACACCAACGCGTCACCTCGCTCAAAAGGCAGCCAGGCAACCAGCCGCCGTTACAGGAGCCGCTCGAGTCCGTGCACTCCCTCGGCCGCGGAAGCGGGGATTTTGTAATGCCTACGGAAACGGGAATAGCCGCGGAACACTCGACTCCTCTTTCCTTGGCTTTGCACCCCCGAGCGTCGCCCTCGCTCTCGGCTCTTCCCATCCTTGCCGAACGTCATGGCTAACCGATTTCATCCGGGCGCGATCATCGGCGCAGCACTTAACCTCCCTCTTTGCTATTACCGACTCGACTCGTTTTTCGTAACGTTGGTACGTTTTGCGCATGAAAGGTACCGGCCGTTGGTTGAGGATAAACAGCCGGCAATGACGAATAATCGAGCATTGCTCGCGTTAAATACCACCGGGGCAGAGCGAGTGCCCGGGAATATCAGTTATTGGCATTGATGCCGAAGAAGCTGAAGGTTCAGTGAGGCTTGATGCGTGCACGCGGTGATAAAGTTTGTTATGAATTCTTAGGCTAGATACCTTCCGGGCTGGTTCTCAATTGTCAAGCGAATGCACGGGCTGCGATTGGCAATGCAAGGAATGCCAGGCCGTCGCTACGATCGAGAATTCGTGAAAAAAGATACGAGAGCGCACAATGTCGAGTGCCGCGACTGCCTTTGAACTACCAACTATAGAAATCGATTGCAGTGCCTCGGATCGTTCCCGAGGACTGGGATACCGGAAGTTGCGGCAGCATCCGTTCGGGCTGTCGCGAGATAAATCGTAATGTATCGAGAGCATTATGAGTTACGAATGTCCCGAAGAGAAGATATGCATCCAACCGTAGAAAGAATTTATTATCGCATAAGACACGTGTGTATGACTTTAAAGTGGCTATAAAAAATTTCAAGGTTACGTAATCAAACAACGTTCAATTTTTATCAAATTACGTCATATCCACCCCATACGCCCTTCCTGTGTATCCTCCTTCGTTAACATTACTCTTTTCATTTCCACTTCAATCCTTTACCCGCGAATAAATTCTGATCTTGCTGACAAGTCGGAATCCACGAAACGCTCCGAATTGGACGACGTATCTCAAATACTAGTATTTTAATAAAAGAAAAAGAAAATTGGTCAAACTCACATTTTTGGTTCGTCGATGAACTGCCATCAATGTAAACTCCAGCGAATTCCAGGCTCTTCTTCGTCGACACCACGACACGACACGACACCAACGAGAGGGACTGCAGGATCGCAATATCACAAATCACAGCTCAGTGTACCTCACTGCTCGAACCACACGTTACAATAGAAGTTGATATTTACCGCCGGGCGATACCGGCAACGGCCGATCGGGGTATAACCGGTCAAAGGATACGTGAAAGAGAAAGGACGATGATAAGGACATAGAGAGGCCACTACGCGTCCGATCCTCGGCGTATTACGTCACGCGACGACGCATCGTATTAACGGAGGATCGTTACAGTTTCACTTTTAAATTCCTCACTTCACTCTCCTGCCGATGCTCGCGGTGCGTGCTGGGTCGAGCCGAGGGGACCGTTCCTGTTACCGTTACCATTGCCGTTGCCGTTCCCGTAGCCGCTGCTGCCACGGTAACATAGTTCACGTGGACACGTGCGTCAGCGCACCACCGATTTCCTCAAGCTCCTCTCGTACGCACGACGCGACTCCTCCCCGACCTCCGCTCCCCCCAAGCCGATCCTCCACAGACGCGTCCGCTAAGAGTCGAGCCTCCTCCTTCCAGCGACCTCTACCTGATTCTTCCTCCCGAAGACCTTCGACCTTCCCCGACGATGGTGCAGTGCACGAAGCTGAGACACCAGGAGACACGGTTCGCCGCTATTGGTTCCCCAGTTGATGACGTCACTAAAGAAATCCCTCTGCTCCCTACCAATTGATCCGTTACCTCCTGCAGTAGACTCGATGACTCCCCGCAAGAAGGAAGCGCCCTGAGCTTGCTCCCGGATCAGTCACGCCTTTGTGACGGCTATTGGGATATCGAAGCTCGTCCGACTAGTTACGCGAACGTGATTCCCACCTGCGCACGGAATTTCCTTCTTTCGAGACATCACCCTCTGCTCGGATCTAAATCGTCCGTCCTTGTCTCGCCCACCGAGGTTGTCCTCCTCCTTCGCGCTGTCCTGATCAGCCGGCCAGGCCAACGAGTACAAGCTCTCCCGTCTCCGACGACGGCCGACGCGAAGGTTCCTCCTCTCAAAGATCCCCGAAGACCCTGTTCACGAGGTTGGCTCCTTTGATTCCCATTGTTCCCATCACTGCCGTTAGCGTCGCTACTGGTTCGCTGTCTCCTCCGAAGCAGGTCAATCCCAATGGCAGAGTGCGTGACGATCGTATCCTGCAGCCCTTCTCTAGCATCTTTCCCTCGAGAAGGGGAAAGAGCTATCCCAACCTGAAGATAGACACGTTCTTCTTGTTATTAATTTTGTCCATATCCTTGCGGCTCTCGACGTCACCAATGATCCACAGGACACGACGGATATCCTATAACTCTCTTCGTCCTCGCCACTTCCTTCGTGCCTTTGGCCGTTCCTGTGCTACGCTCGCTACACGAGGTCACAAAACTTCATGACAACCCCTTAACCTGCCTGATTCTCTAAGTCGGCCAAGGAAATACGCGTGAGCGCCCCCCGAGAATGCCAATAAGGAAAGAAGACAAGATAAATGGGGCACGCACGCGTGCTTCTGACTGCCGGACAACCCTGTTGCCAAAGGGGACAACGCAAACTACCCTCTCGCACTGCACGAAATCGAAAAGAGAATTTAGAATGCGCGACTGTCGTCACAGCTGATTAGCTATGGATGGCACTGGATATTAAATTTTGAATATCTGAAAAAAGCCTCGTCAACCGGACGGCGTGCACGAGTGTCACGGTACTGATCGAATTTTTATCGACGGAAGCTCTCTTTCACGCTGATTTACCTATTTATATAACGATCGAATCTATCTTCAGTTTTCTATCAAAGATTAAGAGGAACCTCGCGTTATCTCTAAAAACATCGACGACTTCGAGCGTCATTGGCTTCCCGATACGTGTAACAACTGTGTAATTCAAAGAACGAAAATATGTACCAAGGGACAACCTCGAGCTCGAATATACATTTAACGTAATCGTTTGGGTGAATTCGAAGGACCCTTCAAGGCTGAACGGGAAACCTAACCTCGAATGGAGGAAAAGTTGAGACGCCGAAGAAACGTTTACGAGTAAATGTACAGCTGCGTTAAGGAACGTGGCGAAAGGGGTACGAGGGTGGGGGAGGGGGGGGGTGGCTAGGAACGAAGAGGAGAAGCGAAGAGAGGAGAGGAAGGTACGTTTTCATTGACGGCACTGCTCTCGAGCAACATAACCTGTAAACTCACGTGACGAGATATTTATATATACGAATGGGGCATGATCGCGCGCGAACGTCCTATGCTACACACGTCCTTCGTACACGGTACGTACACGCCGTATGACAGGACATAGGATAAAGGAGGACAACAGGATGGACATAAGAGATACAGGTTCTCAGATCCCTATCGGTGCGAGATAAGAGGTTGGGACGCGTTTAAAAATGAAAATAAAAAATCCGGCAGACCTGTCTCCTCGATCATGAACTCCTAATCTGCTAATCTGAGATGACGTCACCTAAGAGGGTCACTCCTAATCAATTTGGACCTGCTTCGCGGGACTGGTATAAAAAGGAAGTGACAAGGCGATTCGACCGCGATCGACTTGGCGCAACGTGCTCGAACGGCATTGTGCAGCCTCTCCGCTATTGGAAATCCGTAACACTGTGCACAGTACTTAGTAGTAGTAGTAGCCAGGAGACACACGGAATATTGGATACTTAATTTTATTCATTTAAGTATTCATGTCGTGCGTGCGAAGGGGATAGCGAAAGGTTGATTCCATAGACTTGGAGTGGGACTGAAACTGGGACTAGGAGTGGGAGAGCGAGAGTGAGAGTGAACGAGAGTGACAGTGAGAGAAGGATGAACGCAACGAGATGGTACGAGAGAAGACGAGTGAATTAAAGGAATATAATAATGAGAGCGAGAGAGACAGACAGAGACAGTGACACGGAGAGTAAGAGAAAAACAGATAGTGATGACGATAGTCGGTATAGTAGTTATGAAAATGGTTATGGTAATGGTAATGGTAACGGTGGTGGTATTGATGACGATGATGGTAAACAGCCGTGACGGTAATGATTGTTGTGACGGTGCTGGTGGCGGAGAGAAAAAACGATGCAGTTTTAATCCGTGCGCTTCGGTCTCTCCAAGATCGTTCGTAACGTCAGTTTTCCTTGGACACACGAAATTCACAATTCACTCCTTTTATACTCTTTATTATATCCCGTTTTATTTTCCCTTATCGATCATTGCTTTTCTTTCTTTCTTTCTTTCGTGATATATCTCTTCGTCAATCTCTCTCTCTCTCTCTCTCTCTCTCTATCTCTCTCTCTCTCTCTCTCTCTCTATCGACGATCAACACACTGACACACGCGTACTCCGCCGTTCTCGCATGCGGAATCCGGCGATGACGACGAGAAGGACCAGAACGTGAATGGCACGACAGGAAGGAGCCGAAGACGACACAAGTTCTCACTCGCGACAGTTGACTGACGCACGCGTACGATGTGTTGATATCATCGCGCAATCAGTAGAGAAGAAGCGTCAGTGACGGGCAAGCACGAGAACACCGCGGCGCAAAGCCCGTATCGTGTACCGTATATCGTGTATCGTGTACCGTCTGCCGTGTGCCGTATTCCGTAGGCCGTACGCCGTATGTCCCGTGCCGTATACGAAAGTAAGTTTTCCCTCGGTAGGAGAGGTACCGTGGTAGAGTAAAGCGCGCATGAGGTACGAACGCGGAACGAGGAGCAGCTAACACTCTAGCAGCCGGCAGCGAGCCGCTGGGGTCAATGACCTCTCCTTGCCGTCGACGAGCTCCCCTCTCTTCTATCGGAGGTTACCCCCACCATCGGTACCACCACCGAGCCAAACCAACTACCAGTGATCCCACCTCCACTTCCTCCTCCGCTTCTCACGAGATCCCTTCTCCGCGTTTCAAAGCAACCACCACCACCACCAGCGCCACCACTTCCACAGCGAGAACCTCCTCCATCGGCGTAACCCATAAACCCGTAACCCGTAACCGGTAAGACATAACACGTAACACCCGCCACGTATTCTCCCACCGAGAATCAGTCACCCCTTGGTCCTCTCTCCCACCACCGTACATTTTCACCCTCTGCCCGAGTGTGCCCACAGATCCCTACTCCCCTTCGCTGATTTCAGGGTGGACGTGGAGGGGCTGAAAAAGCCCATGAGGGGCGACGATACTCAGGGTTCACTGGTACAGTAGCCTCGCGCAGTGCAACGCTCTGTTCCTGATTCCGCTCTCTCTGGCTCACCTTCCTGCTCCCACACTTGTATACACGCATGCTGGAACCTCTGCTGTTCCTGAGCTTCCTCGTTCTTGGTCCTTCACCCTTCGTCCTTTGGATATGTATTTTGGGAACCTTTCACTTTTCCGCCATTGCTCTCGTTCGGCCTCTGGATTTTTGCTCCGTCCATTGAGGCTATCTGGAGAAAAAGATCGTATTTGAGGTTATATGACTTTATTGATGGTTGCGTTTACTCACGTAATTCTCACTCAAAATGAGACCTTGAGCTTGCAGTCTTCTTCCTGGGTTGACACTGGTATGCTGCTTGCTGCTGGGTAATGGGAATTATGTCATAGGAAGCATTTTACGTGTTTAGTATGTGGTTCATGAAAAGGAATTTTTTTAAATATAAAGGACGTTGTAGACAGTTGTCAACGTCACGGTGATGGATGCTTTGGAATTGTCATACAGGCTTCGAGGTACGTATGGCACCGATCGAAGCATTCTCTACGCAACATACGATATCTAATCGTTGCAGACATAAAGATTAGATTCTAAAAGAATTTCGATAGTATGACATTCGACAGGAACCTTTCATCTGGCCTATCGTATCTATAGCGTATGCGATTTGCAAGGCAGAAAGGAATTATACCGTGCCGTCGTCGCAACGACCATTTTCTTTTCCCCGCCACTCTATGTCAAAATTATAAAGTTTGCTAACCTTTATGATTCTTTTTGACTTTCAAACGACTTACATGGAAAAGGTGAGAAAACTAGTGATCTATTAATATTTACTAGAAATAGTGTCCCGGCCGTTGTCTAAGCGCCGGAGAGAGATTTGACGATTTTAGAAGGAACACGTGTCGTTTCACCAAAGGCACAACTGGGGTCACGCGAAACGCCAAGACGCCGTTATTACAGATACACTCTACTTCCACTTTCAAAACTAGATCATTACTCACCGATCCTTCATTCGTTAAGCAAGACAATCGTGATGCACGGCAACTAGCAGTTCAGATTCCGTTAATAACTAGATTTGAAAGAATTACCCGTCAGAATTTACAGACTGCCAACCTTAATGTCATCCACGAATCCCGTCTCTCGTTTCAAACAGGAAACATTACGAATGCTCGATCATCGTTTCCGAGCTAAAGATTATGGTTAGAAGTTTAAAATATTTCATATATTTATTACGGGTGTTCTTATCGTCACTAACAACGCCTGTTTCGTAGCTCGTTTAAACATGCGTGTTTCAACACGACTAGATGCTCATACACAGGCGCGCATGCGCAGTACCGTCATTCTCTATGTAGTAACTGGCAGTTAAATATGAGTGCACGTAGTCCCTTACAGGACATTGACTTTGAGATATCGTAAACTCTGCCGACGGCTGTTACACTATCTTATTTCCGCTTATCACATTTTTTCTCTGTATATTATCACTCTTTTAAGTCACTCGTTGCTTACTTTATGAAATCCCCTCTACGCGACTGTCTCTTTCTCTCCCTCTTTTTTCTCTCTCGTTCTATGTCCCTCTCTCTCTCTCTCTCTCTCTTTCACCACGAATCTCTACTACTTTTTTATTCATACTCGATACGGTCCTCTAGTGCTCAACTGTCTGTTATACGTCACTTTGAAATGGAATGAACGAGAGAGATAGAGAGAGAGAAGGAGATTAGCGTACGAGAGAGTAAGAGAGAACAGTACCTAAAACAGAGCGAGTAAACACATTCACGAATAATCTAACTGTACAAGAATTTTGGATATGTAAGTACATAGGTTAATGCAGTAGAAGGAGCTAAGAATATTTAAACATTCTTTAATTTACAATATGTCTACTTGTAAGCAGCCGAACACAATAACTACAGTATGGAGGGCACGGTGTCATTGTCACATGACGGAGGCACCAGGACCGCGAAATTACGAACAAGGTCGCGCTCCTATGCCTTGATAGCGCCCCTCGACACTCCGCATTCTCCGTATCTACTCAACCACTCGAAATGACAACACGTGCGTATTCCTCTCTCTCGTTCTCGTGCAAATTAACTTCGACCAGTGCGTTGAACAGTCTGATGTAAGAAAAGGATGAAAATAAGGCCTAAAATAATAATACTAAAAGAAAATCAATTGAATACTCCTTTTAGCTACATCTATACGATTTTAGTACACAGTATTGTAATATTAATTAAAAAAGTGCATTTTCCAAGCACTTCGCACAGGCTTGAAATATAATAATTAAAAATTGGATTCACCTTAGAAATTTTAGCGGTTCGTTAAACTCGAGTGTAACTAGAGTACTGTGACTCTGCATTCCTTTCTGTGTTCAGAGGGAATTTCACTTCTTTGTCATTTCTCGGCAAACGCTATTCTATCCGTCTCCTTTGCTCTCTCGCGAAACATGAAGACTCCATCCTCTCTACGCTGACAACTCGTGCTTTCAAGATGGTGCATCGACCTTTCCATATGTTGCCTTGTAATATTATGCGTATATGTGTGCGTATACGCAAGAAAAAGACGGAGGGTGCGTAAGTATATTGATTTCCTGAAGCTTTGCCTCCGCGACCGTTAGAGCAATTGAATTGATTAGATCGTCAATCTTGATTTAGTTTTCTCGAAATCTTGTCCAATTTCTTCATAGTACGAATTATCCTAGGCGGCGCTGTTGTCTAGTAAAATTGATAATTATGATTGAGAAATAAAAATAAATTAATAAGAGAACTAGTATGTCTAATCATCTTTATTTCTTTCATATGGTACTAATAACTGCTATATGCTTAAATACAGGTGATCTATTACAGAAAAGAATATACCAAACTTATTAATGTACATACTAATAATTCATATTAAATAGATATTCACTATTTAATCGATTACATCATCCAGCAAAGTAGCATTAATACATTAACTTCATGATGTAGACACTTGGCGGTGGAGGAATTTTATTCGAAACCCGAAGAATATATATAAATATATATATATATATGAGAAAAGTACAAAATTGAGGAAAAAACAAGAAAGAAAGAAAGAGAAAAGAGATGATAAACAAAGTGAAAGAATATAAAATAATCTCTATACAGGTGTATCGACAAAAGAAAAATTGTAAAGAAACCAAAGTTCCTTCATTTACGCGTGAACAACCATATTGTACAAGTCGTAAATATAATACTTTTACGTGGATTAAATTAAAATTATAATAATACTCTCTATCACTCGGATTCTCACGCTTCATGCATTCCGTCGCGTACACTCTCTTTTTACTAGCGTAAAGTAATGGCTACGGTAAATTGTTGTGATGTAAAACGCAGTAAACACACCATCGATCAGTGAATCAAATATTATTTGAATTTAATAATTTGGGTGTCGCGCGCTGCAAACGCATTTTCGCGCCCTCGGTGTTTGTGACACGCAGGCAGCCAGAAACTCATTGAAATTTTCAGTACAGCAGAAATGGCAGTTTCCAAGGAAAATCTCTCCCTTCGGTTTCCATGGTCTGCGAAACTCAGGTCGAGGCGTGCATGATAATGGCTCACGTTGGCCATTCGTTAATATTGAAAGTCAATGCGAAAAGAAAGCGCACCGATTGCGTATATCGATTGCCGAAAGTATTTCTCAAAGAAAATAAGCAGCTTAAACGATATACAAAAAAAAAAGACACGTATCTACAACAACGCGAAACATTTATACAAATGGAAAAATCTTCATCTTTGGTAGAAACTATAAAATAAATATCATTGCTTAGAAGAGTAAGGTTTTTCTTTTCCTTTGTTTAGGTCAAGCCACGTTCCAAGCTGACTATACCTCACGCTCCGCACGATTAACGTAGTGACAACGCAATTGTGAAACGCGGCGGCATTTATCTTTTCCTAGATTCGCATGATTCACGTCGTAAAGCATCGAACGGGACTTGTTCTCTCTGGTATTACAGTTTCTACGTAATTCGTCTAGAGGAAAATATACTCGCGCGTTACGGGTATAAAGAGCCTCGAAAGATGTGTCTCTTAACAATCATTATTAAAATGCTTCTCTCGATCGATCATGCGGATTCGATGGCACGTGGCCAAAGGTACTTTTTATATTCCAAAACGCAGAGAAGATCTAGGTGGAACGTCTCCGTCTGATAAATTTTAACGAGTATTCCAGCAGGGATCTTCACCCTGTCTTTATCCTTGTTCCAGCTCGAACGAGGCAAAGCCAAGATGATCGTTCACCGAGAATTAAAACTATGACTCTCCGCCAACACTGCAGCAGTCGCCATTTATTTATTCCTCTATGAGGCACGTCTGTCATTTATTTGACGTTCAACCGACAACAATTCTCTACGCGTTCTATGCCTAATCACTATGGTAGCCTCTCTTCTATTATACGTTAGTCCTCGAAGCATCGAACGCTCCAGACGAGCTTCTAGGTTCTACTAACCTAATCCTAATAGCTCGAGCTAGGTAGCCTAACTTATTTTCATGAACCATGCTCAGTGTTAAACTCATCAGATCCAGAACCAGTCCCGGCAAAGACGTCGTCATTGCTCCGCGTAAACTCTCTAACAGGAGGAGCTCTTAAGTTCCCCGATATCAGCGATATTTTGCAGAAGAGCAGCAGCCTCGCTGCTCGGCTGTGCCTTGGCGTTGTATCGCTGCTTGAGGGTGCTCAATGCGGACAACAGTCTTGTGTTCGATGACATGAGGCGCGAATTTGCCGCGTCCAGGGCAGCTATTTGTTGCTCTTGCGCGTCGATCACGCGCTGCTTGAACGACAATGCTGCAGACATCTTCTGCTGCTCGCGTCGTAGTTCCTCCTCCACGGATATTAACCTGCGGGCAAATTAATGTCGATTATTACTTCGAAAGTTTAATAGTAAGAGATAGGTTGCTGAAAAAACTCAACCAATCTCGATCAAACGTCCTAAGATCTTTTCTGGTCTGTTGATTCTTTTCCTACTGCTGTCTACTGACACCTTGCTGACCGGTAACTCGTGTTGCTGTGACCGAACAACTTGAAAACGCCAGCCGCGCGGCTTTAAGTTTAAGCTCCAAAGCTCAGGTGAGCAAGGTGTCAATGTCAGCAAGCAGCATGTAGAGATCGTAGGATGGTTTGATCGAAGGTGGAGAAGGATTGTGCCTTTGATCTTAAAGATCAATTATGCTTTTTTGCATATGAGCTACTTTCCGTTGAAATGCGCTACGAGTGAAATTATTGAACTTTTAGGACATTTCACTCGTTTGGTGTCGTTGAGTAAATACGTCTTTATATTTCCCATGCTACAGGAAGTAGTAGCCCCTGTGCAAAGGAAGACTTTTTTTTTTGCCAAAGTAATAGCGCAGGTAAACGAGAATGAATGATGTCGAAAGAATAGGTTAAAAAATTGTATAAAGCCAGAATAATGAAAGTCCAGAGAAGAGAAGAAAAAGGAAAGAGAGTTTAGTGCGGTGTGTACATAAAAAGTCGGTAGGTGTATTATAGTAATATTAAAGTAACAAATGTGGTATGAATAAGGTTCAGAGATATTTTCATGAGCCAACTTGTACTCAGGTATATAATGTAAGTAAATAGAGAATAAAAAGCATTTTTATATCTAACCCAATGAAGACATTCAAGACCTGATAATGAAAAATTAATTGAAATGTATCCGTGCAACTACGTGAAAAAAAATGCGTGAGAGTTTACGAAATTGTGAGAAGTATGTGAAAAAGTCGAGGAGATAGAAATAAAAGAAAAAAAAACCCAGAAAGTGCAAGGATTTATCGAAAGTTCGTTCGAATGTATGAACGGACGTGCACATGAACAAATGAAGTGATTGAATGTTCATGTTTTGATAATGTATAATAAAGGAGCACAATAAAAAAAAAAGTGGATGCCCTATTTGCGAAGTAGCACCGAAATGTTGCGCGTCGTTCCAAAAAATGAATATAATTAAATGCCAAACATGTGATGTAAAATGTAAAAAGCTTAGAAATATAATTGACTCTTACACCAAGGTCCAGATCAAGCCAGAGTATACCAAATGCAGCGGATAGAATGCACAGGAACACACAATCAATTAAACATATATTAATTTGGTAAAAGTGACCAGTCGATTATTAAAAGGAGCTTAAACTCATTACTGTTAGGACAGAACTCTCTTGACAAACATAGCTAACAATAAGATTCTCGCAATGTAGTTGACAAAACTACCACGGGTAGCGCGTTAATCGCGAGCGATAATTTTGACTCCATTATTTCTCTTTCACCTTAAAGATACTAAATTGCACACAAGTTTCTTAAGTGATATGTACGATCAACGTAAAATCAATTAGCGTCGAAACTGAATGAAGCCGATTGATTCTGGCCTGATAAATGTCCTGTGAGAATGGTAAATGGCTAGAACGTCAGGTTTAAGCGATCCTTGAAAGGTAAACATGTCAAAGGTTTAAGATTGGGATGGAGGAAGAGGATGGACAATGGTCGACAAGATTAAAACACCAGAGAGACTCGTGAGTAGTGGAACAGAGTATGGAGAAAAACGATATCTATCCCACTGATGAGGATATAGGTCTATAGGTGAATGACACTGATTATTCAGGAAAAATACATTGGGCATGTGGAGTATCAGAGAACGATGATGAAATGTACCTGGAGATGATGCTCTTCATCTTGGTGTCGGGTGCAATGCCGTCTATTTCAGTATCCTCCGTGGCGCCTAATCGAGCGCGTAGCCGATCTACGCTACTTTGCAGCCTCTCGATTTCCACTTCGTACTGGAAACGAAGAGATACGTGTAGCGTGTTAGTTACGAGGCGAATGGTTTCCGGTCGATGAAGACAATGGTACGAATACGTATAGAAGTTTAGTATGTTATTGACGCAGTGGGAATTGAAGAGAAGGATAAAGACAGTAGAAGAATTCGTAAGAGCGTCCGGAAAGGAAACGGACTGCAATAATTTACCTGGTCGATACTACGATGACTGCGAGATTTGCTTCTCCTGGTGGCGCAACTCTCCTCTTCGCTGGTATCTGAAAGATCTCTCGTGGAATCGAGAGAGAGCCGTCTTCTGAGCTTAGGACAGCAAACAGGCTGAGGTTGCTCGGACGAGGTCCTGTGAACGTTGTTACCTTGCCTCCATTGATTCTGAGCATTCCTCTGAATGTTTCTGATGGGCTGCGGAGGTGGTGAAGGACTGAGGTCGACGCCTCTGACGGCCTCGACGCCTCCACCGCTGCCTTCCCGTTCCTCCGAGCTGGTACTTCCTCTTCTGGTGGTTCTGCCGTGCGTGGATTCCATGTGATAGACCGGATTCGCAAAGGCCAACGGCGCGGTGTTCAGTATGTGCGCATTGGCGTTGTTGCTGAGGTCGACCGGGCTCGAGCTTTGACTGTAAGCGGCAAAGCTCTGATAACCGGAAGACGCTACGTTGCTCAGCTGGGAGATGGAGATCTGGGATCCTTTCTGGGACTTGGACTCGGACACTTCGTCATCGGCATACCTGAGCAGATCTGAGAGCTCCTCGAGATTCCCGTTAGCGCTGGTCATGCTGCCTGGCTTCCCGTAATTGTTGTTTGGTTGATTAATCGACAGGGTCAAATTCGGATTGACGTTTGCATTGATCGTCGTCTTCGAGATGTTATTGTAGTTTTGGGTTTGATTCGCGTTCTCCTCCTTGTGACAGTGATTCCTGCTCCCTGACCTCGAGATGTTGTAGTTGTTGTGATTGTAGTTATCCTGCTCGTGCATCTCAAGATTCTGAAGTCGAGCTATGTTATGACGATGGTGCTGACCAATCGAACCATTGTTAGGATTCATAGTCTGTCCGGTTATGTTGTAATTCGAATCCTTTAAATTTGTCTGGCTCTCGGATCGCGTTGGACTTGTTGGATGAACCTGGCAGTGATTCACGTTGGCTAAACTGGCGCTGGTCGTCAGTCTGTAACCTGTGCCGGTGCGATTCGGCGCCAGGGCACGATGTTGCCTCGCGACTGGAGTTGGCGATCGTGAAACGAACGCGGCGGGCTCCAGAGGATAGTCGTCCGTGCTGATCTGGAGCTGAAGCTTTCCGTTTGTTGGTAGATAAGCATTTCTTGGTAAGGTCGCCGCGCGGATGACGTTTGGACTTCGTGAACTGTTGTGCCCCAGGGTACTCGACTGCAGGACTTCGTTACTATCCCTAATTGTACCGTTCAGGGTGCTGTGATTGCTTAAGGTTGAGGTCGCCGATATCGAGAGATTCGTGTTGCTATTACCGATCGTGGGATCGTTATAGCGGAATATATTATTCTGTAGATTAGGATAACGATGAGAAGTCGGTATAGGACTTGGTCCTGGTTGATCTAACGCTAAAGATATCCTCTCGAGGATCTCAGGAAGACGAGACGCTGGGGAGGATGGCGATGAGGAGGGCGACGCAGCGACACTCTCACGCAGTAGCGAATGGAGTAACGAGAGTTGTTTTCCCAGATCTATGTAGCCGTCGAATTCCAAAGAGTTATTAGCAGGAGCATCTTTCGGCAATGGACTCTGTTTTAAGATAATATAAAAATCATAATTAGACAATGAGTCATCAGCGTGATTCTCAATAGTCATAGACTGAGGTAATGGAAGTGTAAAGACAGAAATTGTTAAGAAAAATTTGGTACTCACGCTGATCAGCTGCAGAAAATTTTTCATAGCAGATGCCTCGCGCTCCAGGACATCGTTCATGAACTCCATGAAATTTTCTTTACCCTGGAACCTGGTGAAGTTCGCTAGAGTCTGCAGGGTCTTCGCCACTAGGGTGAGATTTCGCGCTGCCTTCTCATTTGGATATTCTAAAGGAGAATAAAAAATACAAGATAAATATCCTATCGCAGATTATCGTACCAAAACAGGACTAAAGAAGCATTAATCGAGCGGCAGGTGGCCAACCTAATGAACTGATTACATTTATTAATTTATCTTCAGGAGAGATCAGATCTTCCGCTATTATTAACGTAACAGCTCCTCTTTATTAGAATCCTTTCTTCGCAATTACTTTTACAACCTCTCCCCGAAGAGTGTGTTCCTTGATTACCCCGGATTCGCCGTCCTTGATCAATCTCATAAAAGTGGCCGACCGGACAAGCACTGTGTAAATCTCAGTCGCCAAGCGTATTCAACAGTGTAATATCACGTTTAGAGAATTACCGTGTGTAATGTTGAAGAGCGAAGGACTGAGAATGGCCGGACACAGGAACCTGAGGAATATCGAGGCCGAGATGAGATTGTCTGCAATATCCTCGCGTCCCATTTCAGCTAGACGCTCGCGAAATATGCGGAAGCATTCGCGCAGCTCCATGGGAAAATGTGCATGGCTCCCTAGTATTCGACTCCACGCAAGTTCCACGGCAGCACGTAAATTCTGCTGCTGCTTGTGAAGCGCTGCAACGGATGAGACTTTCAAAGGATCGACTTCACAGTCGCCACCCTCGACCGCGCCACGTACGACGGCTCCCAGCGTCTCCTGTAGGTACCGATCTCCCGTTAACTTAAGGTAAGCTTCCATAGCCTTGGTAGCCAAGGAATTCCCCCTAAACGTGAGTCTTTCGTCGTCTGAAAATATATAAAAATCCTTTAGCTTCGGTTCCCACTTAAATATCCAGTATAAAGAAATATTTGTTCCTTCGGATACTAACCTATTCTATGTATATCCATCATGACCAGATCAGCCAAGAACTGAGACGCCTTTTTCTCCCTCTGCATAACGGCCACCAGAGCGGTTGCGATGTCCTCCTTTGCTTTGACACCAATCACCGGCTCGAGTTTTTCGCACAACGAGGCGTAATCGGTCTTGAGGTATTCGAGGAACTCCTGATAAACTTGTACCGGTAAAATGTCTACCGACTGAAACCGGCACTTCACTCGAAGAGCCGGCGGCTCCTTCAGTGGTCCCTTGTCGCCTACCACTGGATACCATTTTTCCGTGAGATATCGAGACGTTACGTTGTGTACTGGTATACTGACTGAACCTAAAATTCAAAGGAAATTGAATTTATCATCACAATCATTATTACTCAGTGACGTCTTATTGTGATTAAAATTATAAAACCTACCGATCAGAACATTTTTGTCTCTCTTCTTCTTCCTGTCTGCCTCTCTATAGAGATTCACCTGAATGGTATTGACTGACGGCAGATGATGAAAGTCAAAGTGCTCTCCCCAGAAGCACAGATCAGCCTTAAGTTTCGCCGTGGTGCGAGCGTACAGAGTGCTGTCGAGGCAGACCTCACAGAAGTATCGCTTCTTTGCAGGAACGCCTTTCGCCTCGAGTAGCCAAATCTGTAGAGAGTTGTCGGTTCGCCTCGTCTGCTCGGCATCAGGTTGTACAGATTTCCTCAAGCTAAACAGGAAATAAAGGTCACCAATAAGTTTCACCAACGGTTAAGCCTTCTAGATAAATTTTTTTTTTCATATCGAAACAAATAAAAGCAGACACTTAAAAAAGAAAGTCCGATCGTTATCGAGACGCCAGTAACTTTTGTGACTTCCGTGAGTTTCACGAAATTCAAGTAAAAACAATCTCTCCGCGTTAATAACAAAGACTCGGGTTAACCCGGCGCATAATAAAGCAGCATAGCTTCCCGATAGAAATTCTCCACAAAATTCCATACCTATGCAGCCACTGATCTCGTTCGTGCGCAGTTCTGCAGCTGAAGTACTTGGGTCCCCCGGTGCTGGGTGTCACCTGGAAACAGTGTGGCCGACCCAGTAGGCTGGGATGCAGGGGCGTCACTGCAGCCAGGTCCATCGAGGTCACGGCCTGCCCGCAGAGGAGTGACTCGTGCGAGCGACAACCCCGAAGACCCGGACCACGTTGTTTCTGCCTCTCGAGTTTCGTCACGCTCTTCGTCCTCTTCAATGGGTTCGAGCGGAAGGACCTCTTCGAGAAGAAGTTCTGCAAGTTATATGAAAAATGGTGAGAAGCTTCGTTAGAACGGCGAAACGCGCGAGTTCACGGAGCGAGTCGAAGACCCGAGTGCGAAACGTCCGAGAGGAAATTGTCAACTGGCTAAAACGGCCTGCTCGAGGATTTCCAGTGACATTGCTCGAGTGAAAGGTAGAATCTACCGGATCCAGACTCTCACGCAGTGCTCCCCACACTAGCCCGCTGCGTTTGGTCCGCGTTCGGTTACACGTTGCCTTCACATAGCCAGCCATCCGGACTGCAAGTAGATACGCGCCCCTACTACAACCTAACCTAAACTAAAAGAGGGTACACCAGTCACATAAGGATCGCAAAATAGTACACAAAGGAGTTCGCTCGATCTTACAAGCCTAGCTAAAACACCTGATCCCGGAGACCAGAGCAAGATCAGCAGACACATCGAAGGACTCTCTACCGCCGATCTCAGTTCATTTACCCTGCTCATGAAGTAGTTGACGATGACGTTGACTACTTTATCCTCGTCCATTGTCCTCGGGCACATCTTTTTCTTCCTCATAAACGTAAACGGCGCACGAAATGACTTCTCGAGCTTGTCCACTCGTGGACCGTTGGATGGCTCAATGGCTCAATGGCTCAATGGCTAAACGCGACATCCTCCTCGTTCACCGTCCAGCCAGTTGCTGCTCCGCAGCTACGTTGATCCTCCTTTCGTATCTCTGACCTTTGAACTCAGCAGGTCAAACGCACGTGGCGCAATACGAAGAACGTACAAATGTCTTTACCCGTTAAATCCCAGATCAACATCCTCCCGCGTCTCAACGGCGATATCACCAGGAAGTGAGCCCAGTCGAGGTGCTCACTTCAAACTGGTCTCGTAGCCGTGGAATCGCACGAACGGATAAACACACGGAACCCGCCAGAAGACACGACCCGAATACCCGTTTGGAATGCCAGCTTCCTCGATCACTGTCAACTTATTTTTAACTGCTCGACGGAACGAGAGCAAGCTCATCGGGTATTTCGAGATGGTCTCAGGACCAGCACGTGGCTACCATTGATTATCGATGAGTTCAGATCGGCTATTTCACAAGTAAATACGTTTCCTGGATGTATACTCGATATCACCGTCACTGCGTAACGCGGCTATCCGATACCCTGGGGTAGCTCGGATCTGACGATACCGAGCTGGACGCGTTCTCTCAGAAGGAAATCTCAGCGGCGACTGCAGATGTTACCTCGGTCGTTCGGGGGAGCCCCAAGTCAAGGGAAGTTTTATCCCCCGAGGTACCTTTGTGTTGCCGAAAAATACCCTCGTGGGCTCTAGGTGAGTGGGGTACACTATAGGTACGGTGCTGGTACCCCGGTACAATTTTACTCGCCCCGTCTCTCTCCCCCCGTTCTCTTCCTGGCCGGGGCACCCTCCCCAAAGACCAGACAAAAACGTCTTGAGGTGGTTCTCAATGCGCAAATCCCGAGGCGCCTCGCAGCCTGTTTCGAAACCAGTCTGCTCCTTTCTTTGTTCCTCCAGCGCCCTGCTCTAAAGGTATATATGTATTTGTATCGCATGCTCCCGATATATATATATATATATTACAATGTATAAGGCAGCCTCACTCTCGACTCTCGCAACAACCGGCTCCTATGTATCTTGATTCATTGTTTTAAAATGTCTCTTAGCTCGGAGCGACGCTTGGCGTCCTGTCGCCTTCAGAACTTCATAGGGCGCAGACCCTTATAGCTGCCCAGATTTTATAACCAGGAGAGGAACGGCTTAGAGAACGACGCGAAAACCGGATTGAAGTCGTCTTCCGGTCGGGAAGGTATTAAGGATTAAGAGACACAAGATATAACTGGGCGTCGCGGCGCTCGACTCTATGCGACTAGTCCACGCGTTGACCGAGTTTCTCGCGGTTTTACTCGCCGCCTCGAGGAAGTAGAACGAGTCGTACGCGCCGGAACTCCCAACTTTTGCACACGACTTTACTGCCATTTCACGGCTAGCAGAACGTACTGCAGACCAACGTCTTATAGCTACAGCAAGCATCCATATAAAAGAAGTATTCCCGATCAAGATCAGATCAGAAAATATTACGGTTATTCCGACAATCAATTCTATACGAGTAGACCTATTTTTTGGTATGTCTTCTGAGGTTAGGATTTTATCGGAAAAAAAAAAAAAAAAAAAAAAAATTAAATTTCTTGGAAGATAAATTTAATTGCCTAAACCTATCTTTTACAGTCGTCTCTTAATTTTAAAGATGTACCGTTACCCAATCAACAATCAGTATTACGCGCCTTAAATCCCGATTCTCATTGGTTATACGATACCTTTACCTTAGAGAGACTGTAAAAAGATATACGGGTACAGACTCATGACTTTGAAAGTGACGTCGTTAACCCTCGACGATGGCGTCTGCTCACGTGACTTCGTAACCTAACGTGCTGTATATACTTGCAGCTCGTTCGGCTCTCACGCGTCCATCCAGCTATATGTAAATGTCCATGGACCAGTTTTCCTTGCTCATAGTTTTACCGCATTGCTGGATGTAATCGACTTTGTTCCACCATTGTCATTCTAATCGTCCAATGGGAAAGCTTCTAGAAGCCGTTTTCACGAATTAGAAGCGGTTACTGCTAGAAAGCCTGAACAGGGGATCTCAACGGATGAAAACGGGATTTATCAGCAGGGTCAGCGACTGAGATAAATCTACTCGAACTTCCCTTATTTTCACCATTCGTATACCAGTGCCACTGTACCATCCCTGTACGGATCTAATTCGTCGGTTGATAAATTTTACGGTATTGAAAAAAAAAAAATTTCAAATTTCAACTTTCCAAATTCCAATTAGATACTTACGACAATACGATTGGGGGTGACATCCAGAGGTCGCGCACCAAGAACAGGTGTGGCTGGAGCGCTACCCCTTCGACAGGCCTTCTCGTAGGAGGTATCTAGAACGAAAAAAAATAAATGTCAAAAATTTTCCAAGCACCGAACAATTTTTTTTCCACACGAAAAATCATCCCCTAAAACGATTTCGTCACACGAAATTTTTTAACGGAAACAGCAGCTCAGAAAACAAAACTTAGTAATTTACAACGCCTTTCTCTTTGCTCCCTCTCTCACGCTCACTAAAGTTCCCACTGTGTTTACAGTCAGTGGTTTAAATGGTCTTCTCGCACAAAACGTCTCGAGTTACCATTACTCCCTTTTGCACGTACGGGCCTATTCATCCCCTTCGCCAATGTAAGCAGGCACGTTGGTGGAGCCTAAGACGCAGAAAACCAGTGAGGTTTAGCGAAGGAACATTTTTTGCCGCACCCAGGCAAAGGTGCGTTTGTACCTCTGAGGTATAAATGATAGGCGGGTAACATTGCGATAGCTGCGCTTTGTGCTACTGCCGATAATAAATTACCATAGCAATGTAGCACGAGAGGTCGCAATAATATGAAAAGTAGTTCGTACCGAAATTATCTGATCGAAGCTTTGCTCGTGCGTGTGTAATTCGATTATAATGGGGGTTGGCGAGCGGTTGTGACTACTCCTGTTTTCTACGAGTTTGACCCTCCTTAACAACCCTTCCAGTTCGTATACTTTGTACTCTCTGGTGGGTTCCAATGTTTTCCTTTTCATTCCGGGCTCGTGGATAAATTCCCTCGGGCTACGTATTAATTCCGTTGGCTTTAAAATGAGCAAGAGGACCGCTACGAATATCCGAGCGATCGATGCGCACTCGCGCGGGCTACTTCGGAACTTCGCTTTGACCACGCGGTAAATCTGACGCGACGCTATATTGGAAAATTACCAAGGGTCTGAGTGTCTAATGAGGTAACGCTGTGGTTAATTATTAATAGGATATTAAGAATTATTTTCAAAGCAGTTGGCAAATCGCTACGCAATCGTCTTGCGCAATTCTCAGTAACACGACGTACTCTGCTCAACGGTTACTGTATACGTATATTCGTTGAACTACAAGGCTCCAGCCACGCCCGGCGCACTCCGAGGGCTAATTGCAACTGGCGAATTCTAATTGGCTCAGGAATAATTGTCGAAATCATTGTTACTCCCGGTACCCTTTCGTTTTTCGAATAGGTCAGGTTAAGCAGCTGCCACGGGGGCGCTAGGCCACGCAGAAATGCATTGCGTCTTTTGTGCGAGTTCAGGCTCATTGAAAAAAAAAAAAAAATGAAAGATAAAGCCTCGCGATCAGTTTAAATTGAAACGAAATAAAATACCTAGGGGGACACTGGGTCTCCAGTGTGTCGACGATCTTGCCTTCTGTCCCCTTATGCCCGAAAAGCTCATTGTTCGAGGAGCAGGCCTAGCCAGGCAAAAAGGGAGGCAGGATCCTGAACGGAGTATTTCTTTTAAGAAGGATGTTCCTTTTTGCTCGAGACAAATAAGATAAAAGGAAAAGCAGCTCATTAGTTTGAAATGCTATCCAGGGGGATGGAGCTCCTTTTTTTTTCTGGAAAAACAAATCCCCAGTATCCGCATAACAGGGCATGGTGCACCGATCAAAACACTCTCTCCACGGGACGTGAATAACGCCTGAGGCAACGAAGGGACAGGATCATTTGTGGATGCTGGACGCGGCTGTATACTCGTATACAATTTTATGAAAATTTTTTGGCAGGGGACACAATGTCACATACGTTAGCCGTATAGTTGCGCTTCATTGTAGTTTACAGGGACAAAGGGGCGCGGGGGTAAGATACTGTCCTATAGAAGCAGGACAAATAAATGACGCATAAATAGACCCAACGTTTAAATACATAGAGCAACATCATCTTTCGATCGTTTCCTGCCTGTATTTTTCACGTGTCCATTGTCGTACCGGTTGGGCGTAACAGTCACCGGTCGGTAAAAAGGGGTTCTTCTGAATGACGCAATGATTCGACTATTTCATTATTTCACTAAGTGAATAGCCTACGCAAAGTCCGTGGGTTCGATGAAATTGAAGAAATTCATGAAATTTTTACATATAGAAAATTCTTTACGTCACTTAAGCCCATGCACATTCAATATTAGAGAATTGTTAGCTCGCACGTACTATAGGGAACAGATTCAACCGTGACTTTAGTATATCTATTGAAAACCATATAAGAGTCAGTTGACCCCAGAAATTGGATCTTTGTGGGGAAAAAAAAAAAAAAAAAAAAAAAAAAAAATAGGAAATAAATTTCTCGCAAATGAATCCTATCGGCAGATAAAGAGTTTCTAAAGCGATTATGAAAACTGCTCGCAGATCGAACGAAGCCTAAAGCTTTTGTGGTAGCAATAGACCAGAAACTAGTTTACCACGGCGAAACCAGTTCGCGGTACTATTCATGAGATTCACACGTCATTACCCTGGGGATGAGTGTTAACGCGAGTAAAACGGCCGGGCAGCCTCTGTCCTTGCCATAGGGTACTATTTAATTTATCGCTTTATTATGGTCCCTTATGGTCTCTATGCTTCCTGTTAAAGTGTTAACAATGCAGGTGCCCATTAGCATCCTCACTGAAAAATGATGTCAATCGTCGCACACGATTTAAGATGTCGTTAAATTTGCTACCAGATATACGGGGGGTACTGTTGCCTACATAGTAAAACGACAGACGAGTCAAAAATTCGAAGGCTGTCAAAAAGTGTTAATTCAGCTTTTTTTTATATCAATTTTTGAAGATAACCCGAAACCGGAAGTCAGTGCGAGTGCGACTTTTTTAACCTGGGTCGAATTTAGGGGCGTTCGGCTGTCCGCGCGCGAGTCCCATTGTCCCCGAGAATTTATAGGCAAAGAATGACCAAACAATTTACACTGGCCTTGGCATTCCCGTACCACCGTGTGGTTCATTGTGAACCGAGTTCCCTATAAATATCGATTCGTCGACACTCCGAGAATCGCAGACACACAACCCGATTCCGAGGATCCATTCAGCCGTATATCGATCCTACGAGACTACAATATAGGTATACAGGCGTGAGCTAAATATATTGAGTTCCTCTATTCATTCATTGACCACCATCATCCGAATTCCAAGACCGTTAATCATTTTCATGGCTAACGCCGACGGGTCCTACGAGCAGCTCTGCATATATTCCGCCATAAGGGCTCATTGTGCAGTTCGATGATTATGCTTTATTTTGCGGCACGTACCCCCCTCGCGAAGTACCTAGCTGCGGTCTACAGGAGAGATTCGAGTAATCGGTTAATACGTTTATATAAAACCGCGCTAAGAGACTGCCAGAGAAATTGTAATCGAGCCAATGAAAATCCTTGCTTCTCTAACGGTTAGAATTCCAGAGTGCAGCCGAGCGCGACGAGCGACGAATCAATAACGGATGAACGCTCACGAACAGTGGGCTCATTGAATTTCACCCAGGATTCTCAGTAACCTAGGGATCCTCTGGCGACGACTGCCAACCGAATAGCGCAAAAAGTACAGTACTCGGGTCCGGCCACGTTCCGAGACACGTGAGAGGCACGGTCTGAAATTCGAATAGGACTGGCGCACGTGCAAAAGAGAGAGAAGAGTAAAGGTGCCCCCACAGAGCGATCAACGAGCAAGAGGGCGGAGTGACTGTTCAACAGATGTCACATTACGTTACAGTTCTATGTCAGGTTTTATGAAAGCATCAAATAGACCTCCCCATTACTTTCGGCCAATACAAATTTCAACTTTATTCCATCGACTCGATCCGTCGGTTTGTTTGACTCAATTTTTAATTTACTAATAGAAATTTTTAACGAAGCCTTCCGGCTCGACGTAAAATTACACGCGTTCCTCTGTCTATTTAAAAAGCGCTCTATCCCTCTCCCTCTCGAGGAACACGTGTAAAGTTTGAAAATTTTTCAGCACCAGTCCCTAGGCTATCCCTGGCTGTGCTCCCTGGCACGCATGTGCCTCTTAGGCCGCAAGGACTGACAGCTTCCTGTAAAGGGAATCCATAGAAGCCCTCGAAATTGAGCGAGCAGGCTGTTTCACGAGAGATCTCAGTGCGAGTAACGGAAGCTCAATTTTAATGGATTTTAATTTTCACATACGTGAAAAGTGGAGAAAAAAAGAATCCGAGCGTCAGATCAAGCGAAGGTCGTGCGCGGACAATAGGACGGTAATCAAGAGCGACAGTTAAAGCAGTATCGTTACGAACGTTCTACGATCGAGCGCGTGCCGAGCTGACATTCACATCCGTATAGATACGCCGCTCGTTTATAATTAGCCTTTCGTTCTAGCCGGCTGGAAGCCTAATGAAAAATACAACATGAACCCCTTGGGCACACCGGAAATTGTGTCTCCCATACTCCGAGGGTTTACAACGTGGGTCAAGGTTCGCTCAACTTGACTATAGTCGTACACAGAACGTCAGTAAGTACCGGGGTAGTGAGCCCCGTCGGCAGCCTGTCGTAATAAGTATTATTACGCATTCGGGTACCAAGCGAATACTGTCTCGTGTCGCCAAAACGATTCTCGGCGAAGTCGTTGACGAGTCGAGCGAGCGCGGCAGCTGAAGCGTAAATTCCAATACGAGAGTCTATGGGTGATTTAATTGCGTTGAGACGGCAAATCCTCGGAAAGAAAACAACAAAGTGATACTCGAGAATTGAATTTTCACGTGGTCTATCGGCAGGACTGATTCGAGAACACTCGGTGGCTATTGTGCGCGTTCGCATTGCGTGAGCACTCGAAGACGAAGTTCACATTGGAAAGGAGAGACCGTCGAGTGCCCTCGAGTAGCTCGATTGTGCATTTGGTAAGCGACCTGACGGCCCATTAGCTTCGAATCGCCATTGTAAACGAGCCCGAGGGCGGACGGGAGCGAGGCGATTTATCGCATTGAAAAACATCCTTATCCAGCAGACGAGGCTTGGCTAAAGTTTCACAGGAGTCATACGGGCAGCATGGTCCCGTCTTATCGGACTTATCTCCGTCCTCGATCGGCATTCCGCTCCGGTAATGATGTTTATAC